ATAGATAGATAGATAGATAGATAGATAGATAGATAGATAGATAGATAATTAATTAATTAATCTCGGAGAGAGAATGGAATGGCTTGCCTGCAGTCCTGACCTTCATCTCATTAACCATCTGTAGGATCAGCTTGGTTATGCTGCCCCATTGCGTATCTCACCAATTTACTTTAAGAGTCTCCAAGTTTCTCATTTTCATCTTTCACTATGTGGTATGAGTTTTTCTGAACTGCTCGCTGTAGAGTCAAACAAATGTCTGCAACGCATACTCTGAGTGAAAACAAGTCCAGATCATTAATTTTGTTTAATTAATTAACTCGTTAAGTAATGAGTGAAAATACATGAACAGACCGACTCTGTCATACAAAGGAAAGCATACAGTGATAATTCTTAGTGATTAAAATAACAAAGTAAATTTCTTTCAGCTGTCCACGCTTTAGTGGTCTCCACAGCGAGTCCTCCTCCATCTCTGTCCTCTGTGTCCTCTGTCCTCACTCCAGCTACCTCAATGTCTTCTCTAACTACATCCATATACCTCATTTTTCGCCATCTTCTTTGTCTTTTCTTTCCAAAACGGAAACATTTAATAGAGTCATTCACATCTTATAGACTACATTAATTCATTGACATGATTCATAAAATTTAACAATGAATTTCAGGCAGTTCTGTATTTAGCTCATTTCACCTGCTGGCGTCTCACACTCCTTAGCTAAAAGTTTACTTTTAGCACAATGCTCTCAGGCCAATGGCTTTTGTTAAAACATTTTTTTAAAAAGTTAGTCAGTTTGGCTATTTTGGTCATTTTCTTGTTTTTTCAGCACCACCTCTACCCGGGCATCACTTGAAAGCAGAGCTCAATACTGGTCTGTTCCTGTTAGGTGTCATTAGTTTAACACTAGCCCTCATAACCCAAAAACCCAGCCCCCCACCCCGGTATTCACTTCCAGCTGACTACTCTGGGCCTGCGTGTCAAACCATGCAGGAAAATAAATTCAGAATCTCCACAAAACTCCATAAAGTGCTCTAAAATGTCCTGACAGACAGATTATTAATTACAATTATATAAACATCTTCAGCGTCCTTCTGAGACAATATGGAAAGGCACATCAGCTCCCAAACTCCCCGCGGATCCATGACGTATCCTGCCGTGTGCGTCTCAGCGAAGAATGAGGGCTCTCCAGGACCCTGTCGATTTGTAGAAAAGATTGGATCAGTTGCGTTGAAAGTCCAGCTGACCAGATCCATGACAGTAGTTTTTGTTTTGGAAGATGTGTAAATAGGAGCTCCGATACACAGACGGAGAGCAAAAAAGCAGGAGGAGGACGGGAGAGGGAAGAAAATGTGTCCGCCTTGCACGAGAGCGAGTGAGGAAAAAAAAAGTCAGTGACTGTCTTGTGGGCACGTGTCAAGCCAGCAGTCTATGATTTTGCAGCCAACATTAAATATTCTGATTTAATACTAAACCATGCCTGTTCATCCATCCATCCATTATCTTCCAAAGTGGGGTCGCGGGGGCAGCAGCCTGAGCAGGGAGGCCCAGACATCTCTTTCCACAGCCAACTCTTCCAGCTCTTCTGGGAAGACTCCAAGGCGTTCCCAAGTCAACTGAGAGACATAGTCTCTCCAGTGTGTCCTGGGTCTTCCTAGGGGTCTCCTCCCAGTCGAACATGCCCAAAGCACCTCCCTAGGCAGGCGCTCAGGGGGCATCCTTACCAGATGCCCGAACTACCTCAACTGGCTTTTCTCGATGTGGAGGAGCAGGACCATGGCTGTTCAGTTTTTTGATTTATTTTACAAACAGAGACCCTGAGTCTGCAAGTTTGAGCCCAGTTTGTGTCTGGAAGAACGTAAAACAATTACCAAATCTTTCGTATGAGTTCATTCCCTGCGGCGACCCCTGCAGCAAAAAGCAGCTGAAACAACAACAAGAGAAAGACATTACCGTTTACTCTAGCAGTTAAACGTCTTAGTGCTAGTAAAACGAACAAACAGAAAATCACTTGTCTTTAAGGACTGATCTTTTTAAACACAAGTGAAATATACCTGGACATTTTTGAGAGAAATTTTCATTATTTCAAGTCTTTTTTCAAAATGCGTTGAACACAAACTGATTTGTTTCTCCTGACCAGGAATGTCTGGATTACGGCAGCTATCTCCCGTGACTTTAAAGGCTCTCTTTTATTCTTGTACACTTGTATGTAATTAGAGGCTTTAGAGTTTAACATGAATTTCACTTGTCAAAAAGTCTGGGAAGGAGTTTTATCCTTCAAGACAACGATGCTCATCTTCGCAGAGTGGGGTTTGTCAGAGACGATCTTGAGAATTTGGGGAGGGGAGAGAATGGAATGGCTTGCCGGCAGTCCTGACCTCCACCTCATTGAACATCTACAGCTTGAGAATGCTGTCCCTTCCAGACAAACAAACAACAATTATTGTTTACAGCAGAGCCTGTCCGTCATTGACAACCAGTTGTAACCAGTCAAAATGGCGGCAGCTGTTTTTCTGTGTGGTTTGTGTAAAATACAAATCTATGAGATTATTTTTGCCTGATTTCATGCTTGTATCACCAAGTGAAACATTGTTTTACTAATGTGCAGCACCAAAAGAACAAAACAGCATTACAGGCCTCAGCGAGTGAACACTAAAAATTTAATGTAAATTACTGAAGTTATTACAAAAATTGAGCTTTTTTTTTTTTTTTTTTTTTTGGCTAATTTATTTTCTTGTTGCTTCTTGGCATTTACTTGTGAGGTTTAACGGAATACCCAGAAGAATATGGACCGAAACAAACAAACTTCAAGACCAGTAAGGTTAACAGTGTTTTATTTACAGTGAAAAGGTTCATCAAAGTGCACGAGGAGGAACTGGAACCCCGAGGAACGAGGAGAAGAATCAGGATGGAGAAACTCAGGAAATGATAATAGTTATCTCATCGTCATCATCATCAGTTCTCTCTGATGGAGATATGGATTGTCAAGGGAACAGGGGGTCCAGTGGTTCCAGTACGAGGAATGAAGATGTCTGAGGTTGTGGCTGGAAGGCGAGGAGACAGCTGAAGAAGTCACAAGGGAACTCAGGGCCACACATGAACAGGTAGGTCACGAAGCTAATGCTGAACACAGAGAGAGTACAGGGTAAGTCTTTCTTATCTCAAGTGGCTAGAAGCACAAACACCAGTAGGCATGTAATGCTCCAGAGACAAAGAGAACTCTTCTGCAGCCTTTTATACTCCTGAATATCAAGGGAATGGTCCACAGGTGTGACTTGTTGGCGCCATCTTGTGACTTCAGCAAGTTGTGGAAAAGGCTGAACTCCCTCAGTACTGTTGGAAAGCCTGTTCATTTTCCCTTAAAAAAAAAAAAAAAAACTTTATTTGTGGATTGAGCAGCAGAGTTGAGTATGCAGGTTTCATCCTGGAAACATTTGCCTAATCTTCCCTGCCATTGCATCTTATTCTAATATTGACGTTTAATTGGATTATTGATGTTTCAAGATATATTGGTTTTTGAACAATTTATTAATTTGACAAGGAGGTAGCATGTGGAAGAACCATACACAGCCACATCAGCCTGGCATCACTGCCTCATGCTGCTCACGACCCTGTTCACACACTGCTGTCTGACAAAAACCTGGATGACCCTTAATTTACTGATTTTAAACTCACACAAGACCGAGTTTGTGGGTTTTTGTGCCTGAGCATCTTATTTTTCAGTCTCTCGCCCGAGGGCATTAATTTGGCCTCCAGTTCTAAAGTTAAAATCCTTGGGGTTATTTTTGACCAGGATATGTCTTTTTACCCCCACATTTAAATACCAGAACCACTTTCCTTCACCTGTGTAAAATCGCTAAAATTAGAAACATCTTGTCCAAAGATGATGCAGAAAAACGATTCGGTCCGTGTCTAGGACTCTTGCAACTGTTTACTATCTGGGTGCCCAAAAACTTCTTTAGAAAGTCTTCAGTTGAAAATGTAAAATAAATACCACCTCACATTGAACAGTATTCTCCTTTTATGGTTGAGCATGAACTTTGATATTCTCCTTTTAGTTTCGGTATCAGCTAAATGCATTCCTGTAGACAGATAATTATTTGACAGGTACGTGCCACACCTGAACACCTTGAAGGCTGGCTCAGAGGAGAGCGCTGACGTTGTGTCGCGGACCATACCAATGGACTGCTTTATTCCTTGGAGCACAATGACTGAGAGTAGGTTCTTTAAGGTTCTGTTGGTTCTGACTGGTCTGTGGACTCTTTCTAGAGGTGGTGAGTGAAACATTTACCGAAGCTTCAATATATTCATTATAACACATGCAATGTGTTGTGGGGGTAAAAGGACCAACAAAACAACACATTCTGAGTTTAATCATCAAAATATTTAATATATTAAAATACAATGAGGATGATTTTTAAGCTGCTCACAGTTTTTTACTAAAATGGTGACCATCTTTAGTTTATTAACTCTGAACTGTTTGAAGCAGTTAAAGACGAGTTTCTAAGGACTGAAAGCAGAAATCTCAAACAGAAACCTGGTTCAAGTCAAGCCATGAGGACAAAACTAGATTCATTTTCTTGCG